TTCAAGAACGGTTAGCAGTCGTCACGCGCGCGCTTCTTTTGATTAGGGACTTTAAGCAAACCACGACGGCTACGGCAACGAGAACGTGGAAAAACAATAGATCTAATTGGCAGAACAATAGCCCAGCACGTGCGTGTAAAAATTTTGTACATTTCTTAGCCGTCCTTTGCAAAACAACAACGTGAAATCACCAAAATTTGCGTCGTCCTCGAAGCGAAACCGCGGCGGCAAATTATTTTAATTTACATTTGGTACTCAACGCTACTTTTATGCATTATGTTGAGTTTGAGGTCTTGCACCCTATGAGATGGTAAACACATGCAGCCATTTTTTAAATGCTCGTTAAAAGTAGAAACTCATTTTTTAATCGACGTCTTCCGTGGCGTTGCAGTCCTGACTGCTTAAAGTCCCCATTGGATGCTGTGGAAAACTTGTTTTCGTGGCGGCATTTCGTTACAAGCTCAGATTTCTTATTTAAGAGAGAGGCATTTTGAGCGGTCAAGATGCAAAGTTTTTCAGCCAAACATAGGTTGCAACGAGATGGTTTGCCTTTGTATGCGCTTGCCCTTTCGATGATGCGCCAGTTGATCTTGTTGTCGTTGCCTCGCTCTTTTAAGTCCCAAATGTGTTTTGAAAGTACAGCGTCATGTGAGTATTTTAGGTTTTTGAAAGAGAGTTTGTGGTTATTTTATCTTCTTGAATGCGTGTTCTTTCATTCCAATGTAGTTCCTTGCGTTACCAGAAGTTGTTGTGACAGTTGCTTCGTAGATGATGTTTCCGGTGAGGCACGCGCCGTCAAGAGGGCAAACGTTTTTGTGTCTGCATTAAATTTCGCTGGATGCCTCGTCTTTTTCATTTAGGATTTTCTGATGGTGGCTTTTGATTATATTAGCCAGGTTGTTTCTATTGAATATTTTATGGAGTTTGTGTGACTTTGGAAAATGTTTATCAATCAGGCGGAAGAATGATTTAGCGATGTTTGATCGGACATTCTGACTGTACAGTGCGTTAAACCAGATTATTTTCCTTGCTCTGTTTCGGGATATTTTCTTGCTTGGGTCTTGACATAATGGACCCGCTCGTTGTACCCACTAGATTTCAGGGCATTGTTGCATAACTGCGAGATTTATTGAACTCGTCTTGGTCGCAGGATAAGCCCGATATTCTGGTGCTTATGGATACTGGGATTTGCCTAATTGTAGAAGGGAGATGATTCGATTTGGCGTTGATGTACAGCGGATCGTTATCGGGTTTCCTGAAAGGGTAATATTTTCCATTTGTCAGATTTAGCGTGACATCCAGGTAATCGACCACCTTGAGATTGCTTAGCACCGTAATTTTCAATCCAAAGGTCTCCAATTGTCTTAGGAAAACCCTTTCTTGCTTTGTCGCCGGTTCTTGCGTTCATGTTCTCGAAGATTGTTAAACCTTCGTCTCTGTACAAGCCGATGTCCCCTTCTGGGAAATTTGATGATAATTTGTTCAGGATGTACAGGCCAACTAGCTCGCAAATCTCGGCTCTATCATAGCAACCCATGGCTACATCAAACATGGGGGATTCACCTCTCTTGACCCAGAGTTCATTCTTATCAAACAGGAGGGTCTTCCTTGAGTGCATAATGATTTCAATCTCCTGCTTTGAGACGGTTGTGTGTTGTTTTGCATACCCCAGCGATAACTTCAGCAGTTCCTCTGATATGGATGGATAGAAGTCCACAATGGCAAAAATCAGGAATGAATGCCTGTGCTTTTCTCTAATACTTGAAAGCCAATCGACTACAGATTTTGTGTTTTTCCACTGGTGTAACTTCGTCTTGGATTGTAACCGTTATTTCTGGCAGTTGCCTGACGATTGCTTCGCAAGGGGCATGAAACTCAGAGTTGCAGTAAAAGTTCAAGTAACCTAGATCTTGAAGTATAATTATCCACAGTTCTAGCCCTGCTATCGAGCACTTTTTAGTAGATGATGATCTCATTCCGCTATTTTGGTTATATATATATATATATATATCAAAAGGGCAAGTGCATACAAAGGCAAAACATCTTGCTGCAACCTATGTTTGGCTGAAAAACTTTGCATCTTGACCGCTCAAAATGCCTCTCTCTTAAATAAGAAATCTGAGCTTGTAACGAAATGCCGCCACGAAAACAAGTTTT